TTTTTTTTTTTTTAATCCATATTATTCAAAGAGAAAATGAGAGAGATGATGATTCTGAGGCCACCCTATCCCAGCCATATTATTCACATATCAAGTCCCAACAGCAACAGTGTAGGGATGCGCACGAAATACTGTAAATTAAATGCTGAATGGCGGTTCATGCAGGGAAAGAACATATCAATATTCGCATATTCATTCAAAAACATGAAAATTCTTAATAGAGTACCCTCATTTTTTATTGAATTCCTAAAAAACAATATTTATAATGAATTTTAATAATTTTTTCGAATTTTTTTTAAGCATTATTCTGACCGATTCACCTGATTCCCGATCCGGATCGCCGATTCGCCGATCCAGATCGGTTTTTTGGAAGCCCGATCCGGGTCACCGATCCGTTTTTTAAACCATTGCCTTAAACAGATTGACAAAAGTACCTTTCATAGTTTGGAGTTAGAAATAACAAACAGCTTGTTCACAATTAGAAATGAATAACAATAAGGGGTGATTACTTCATTTGACACAAGAAAGAAAAGACTCAAATGACATAAGTACAAATTGGTGTTCATCATTTCAAATCATGACAATTTGTTTGTTATTTCTAATCCCATAGCAAGTTTATGTACTTTCGTCATTATGTTAAGGCCTCTTCAGAGGGTAAAATTAATAAAACGTCGCTAATTGATGGGGCTTTCCAACCCCAAATAAGGGCAATTAGAGAACTATTATGGTTTTTTCAAAGGCATACCTGATTGAAGTAAAATTTTAAAAACAAACCTTAAAATATAAAATTGTGCTTGTATGACCCCCTTAGTGATTTTTTAAGGGGTTTCAACCTCTAGATATTTTCCGAAAAATGTAGTGAGTAACAGTGATGTACCCCTTTTCTCGGAGGCATAACTCCCAATCTAAGGAGAATTTCAAAATAATTTTAACGTCCAACTTTAATTTTAAACATTGATCTTTAAAATGGAGGGGGTTTGAAGGTGCTTGGATGTCATTTGAGAGGTCAAAAGATCCACACAAAATGAGTGACAGTTGCAGGAATTTTCTGCAACTGTGGACAATGATATAACCCTACATTTTGGGGATATCTCCTAATCCATACAAAATTTTAGAATGATATAAAAGGAAACATTGTAGTAGACAAACATATCTTTCACGCAATACTGATTTAAGCCCATTTGGACATCGTTTGGCTACTGAAAAGTTCAATAAAAAAACACTCACAGTTTTGGGAAATTCTTTTCACAAGTTTTGGCATGTTTCAAATAATACATAATATCTCACAAGCAAATATAAACTTTGTTGCAAGACATTATTCATGTTAAATTAGTCTTACAAATGACCTACTACACAAATTTTCACAACTATCAAGATCATTTATAATACTCAATCATGCATGACACTTAGAAGCAAAAACCTGGAATTTCCAGGGCATTTTAACTCAATCACGCCCATATATTTCACTCTATCATTTTACCTACTTCCATTACTTAAATTGATTTCTACAAAACTAAATGATGCATAGATACTAAACCTACTTACCTGGTATTCAATGGCGCCTCCAAAACTCCTACTCACAGGAGACTTCAAGCTCCTAGCACAGGCTTCTCAAGGAGCAGTAGTTGACTTTCGCTTTGGTTCTAGAGAGTCTGAGAGTATTAGAGCCAGAGAGGAACGATGGTGAGATGGAAAGGGAGAGGAGCTTAAGTGCTCCCAAGTAGTTGGAAAACACTGTGGCTGACCACTGCCGTGCGTGGTGCTGACAGGTACGGCTCTGACATGCGCGGTGCTGACACGTACGACAACAGTGAACCTTGCTTTTACACTCACAACACTACCCTCTCTTCGTGCGTGGCGTTACTCATCTGCGGCATGTCGGGTGCGGCGTTACTCCGTCTTCGCCTTCACGAGCGACGTTACCCTTCCTGGCCTTCACACGCGGCGTTACCCCTTCCTGGCCTTCATAAGCGGTGTTAACTCTTCCTAGCCTTCATGCGCGACGTTACCTCTTCCTGGCCGTCACGCACAACGTTACCTCTTCCTGACCTTCACGCACGGTGTTAGTCTTTTCTTCTTTTCCATGCACGACGCTGCCTTCTCTCTCTCCTCTTCTCTCATGCGTGGCAACTACCATGCACGGCTTTAACACATCGGCACGTGCAGTAACAAGCTTTCCTTCATCTGACTCTATTGTCGTGCGCGTCTCATGTCGAAATATTTGGGGTCCTTACATAATCTCTCTACCTCTCTCTCTCTCATGGTGGATCGACCTCTCAATCTCTATATATCCCTCTCTCATGATAGATTGCGAATGAAAGCATGGTGAATTGTAAAAGAAAACAACTCAGCCTCTCTATAAACATCAGGATTTCAATCTTATGCTCATCTGCTCTTCTTCAATCTTTGTTGAAGTTTAAGCTCTATACTTTAATGGCAGATGGAAAATACAGTGACACAAATGCGAAGCTTTTTCAAGATCAACATTATAACTGTTGGGTTTATGTGGGCTTTAAAGGCCTTATGAGTGATTGTGATGAGACATTTGATACAAGTGGATCGTGGACTCAGTGGGAGTGTGGTCCCTCATGGACCATAGCATGCAAACGAGGTTTGCAGATATCGGACTGTGCTTCACTGTCTAAATCAATCGGTTGGGAAAAACCCATGTTGCATGGGCATAGAAAATAAATTGAAAAAGGTTCTAAAGGGTTATCCCTTGATGAGGTCGGAATATACTTAGATGAGATAATCGAGGGACTGTGTGACCCTTGTGTGTGATGGTGGCCTACAGAGATGAGGGCCAAAGTCTCATCCATGTACCATCACACGATATTCATATTGATAGACTGTTCGAAAAAACGAGCAAGCCACCTTATAAGGTGAAGCATATGCATGTACGAGAGATACCCATATGCGTCATAGAGTTGTGGTCGCATCAGGTCTAGGGTGACCTTAACTCATCTCTAGGGGAGAACTCGAAATCCACATACTGAGATTGCAATCTCTGGGCTCATCGACTAGACATTGGTGATCTGCTAATGAGCCCCTGCTTGGATTGTGAGTCATGGGCAACACTGAGTTGGTATGATAAAGCAAGCGTGGTCTGTAGTCCACAGTTGAAGGTAGAGTGCCCATTATTGATTTAATTCATTGACCATATGGATCATTCAAATTAATTTAATTATGTTTTCTTTTATGGTAGATATTATTTTAGAATTATTATTTAAATTTTTATAAATTCCTTGATATTTTATTTATGAAATTTGGATTTATAAAATTGAATATATTGATTTTTAATGATTTAATATTCAAATAATATTTTCAAATTTATTTTTAAATATATGAAATTTTATGGGGGGCACATTGTGCACGTGGGTCACTATATTCTAAAAGGTGGGGCCCATAAGTCCCTATCTTGGGTGGTACGTCACCTTTTGAGGGGAGGCTTATCCCATGGGTGGCACCTCCCCCTCATTATAGGATTTGTTGGTATATTTCATCTCAAATTAGTTTGAGTTGATAAAGTGTTTTTTCCTTAAGAGATTTTAGTAAATCTTTTAGATGCCTATAACGCTTATGAATATATATTTTTTGGATAGAGCACAATATTTTCTTGATTAATTTTTATTTTATGGGATAATGGTCAAATAAAAGGGGGGATAATGGTTCAACACATTTTGTAATATTGATGACCCATCTATGGAATGAATGCGTCAGATCTCTCACCCTACAGGTCACCCTTGATCGACGGTTAAAATTCAATCTTGTGAGGCAAACAACGGAAACCATGGATCATTCTTTATAAATAGGGGTTATTCCCTTTCGTTCCAAAAA